GCCCCTCAGTTGAGTTTCTGTCTCCCATCTCAGGACCTCTGGACTTCGAGGCCTACAGTGCGGCTGCCCTGCAGGAAGGCAAGTACGTCTGGGCCTGGATGCCCAGGCTGGACCGTGGGGCTGAGGGAGGCTGATCTGAATGTGAAAGGAGGCACCTTCCCGTGCTCAGCTGCCCCCCAATCTATCCTCAGCAATGAAACGTTTGCGGGGAGCCAAGGCCTTCCGCCTTCCGGGACTCAGCCGGCGGGAGCGGGAGCCAGAGCCACCTGCAGCTGTGTGAGGAAGCACCCTTGCCCGGCCTGGCCCAGGCTAGCCCAGAAGCCCTCTTCTAGGATAGCCCAGGAGTATCCATATTCCAGGCTAGCCCAGGAATCCCTCCACCCAAGGCAGACCAGGAGTGCCTCTGGCCCAGGCTAGCTCACTATTACCACTGCCAAGGCTAGTCCAGAATTCCTCCTTTTGCCAGGTTAGGCCAGGAACTGCCTGTCCCAGAGTAGCCTAGCCTTTCCCCTGCCCAAGCTGGCCCACGACTGGTCTGTCTGTTTGCCAAGGCTAGCCCTCACTTTCCCTACCTTCATAGGGAAGCCCTTCAGATGAGTTCCAGGATTTCTTGCCTCCCAGACTGTTTGAGAACACCCTCTACTCAGCTAACCCGATTCAACCCCCTCCCCACGCAAGCCCCGGGGTCCCACTGCCTCCAGGGCTAGCTCCGGGCAATATCACAGCCCGGGAGCTGCCCCAGCTTCCATGTCCAGTGTAGAGGGGACCAGATGGGCTGCAGAGGCTGACAGCAACCTCTCTTCCTCCATCCCCAGAGATTCCCTGGAGCCTGATTCAGGGGTGAGTGATGTGGGAGGGGTCAGGCTGGGCTGCAAGCGGGAGGAGTTTGAGCCTATTCTCGGCTCTTAAAGTTCAGATCTTTACTGGAAACTAAAGAGCCGGGATTGAGGGGTGGGCTGGAGGTGGCACAGCCTGGGGGCTGGGTTCAAATCCCACCTCAGCTGCAAAGTCCCGTGGACCACGTGGGCAGGGATAATGTCCCTGCCCAAGCTCAGTTTATCCCAGGAACCTGCCCACACACCAGGGAAAGACAGTTGTTGCCATCAGGGTGGTTTTGGGGCCTGAGTCAGGGCCTGGGGGCGGGGCAGTTGGCAGGGTGAGATGGAAGGTTTGATACCCGGTAGCCTGACTCACCGCTGCCCCTCCCCGCGACTTCCCTAGACATGTCCAGAGGTGGATGATGAAGGTTTCACTGTCCGGCCCGACGTGACCCAGAACAATATCCTTCTGGCACCCCCTGGGGGCAGTTGTTGGCACAGCAAGGACAATAGTCACTTCACTTTCAGCAGTCTTCTCTGTACATCCTGGAGAGTCTCCCCTGTGGATGAAGCCAACCTAAATGCAATCACCCACTCTATGGGGTCAGCGTTGGGCAAGAGGGAGAGAGAAAAGGAGAGCCGGAAGGGCTTCCTGGAGGAGGGGGCACCAGTATTGGGTTTTGCAGCTGAATAGGAGTTTGCCAATTAGGGCTGGGCAGGCGTGTGCAAAGGCTTGGCAGTGGGGTGGGTGTCAGGACTTAGGTGGCAAGCGGTGAGCGATGGGATTGTGCAGGACCTCCAAGGGTGTGAGCAGGGAGGGACGAGGCTGAGTTGGAGAGCTGACTCGGGGGAAGCTTTTGCTGGGATTGGCTTGGACCTTGACCGCAGCCCACGCACGGCCGAGCCCTCCCGTTTCTCATCCAGCGACTCCGACTTCGATGATGAAGAGCCCCGCAAGTTCTACGTGCACATCAAGCCTGCCCCGGCCCGGGCTCTGGCCTGCAGCTCCGAGGCCGCAGCGGCACAGCTCAGGGCCACCGCAGGCAGCCTCATCCTTCCTCCCGGCCCAGGGGTGAGGTGTGGGAGGGGTGCCCTGGGTGGTGCTGGCGAGGCTGGCTGGATGCCCTCGTATGTGATGTTGCCCCCTTTGTCCACAGGGCACCATGAAACGCCATTCTTCACGTGAGTAGCCTTCGGTCTTGAGTGGGGAGGATGCGAAGGTCGGGAGGCTGTGGGTGTGGACTTGAATCCTAGCTCTGTTGTGTGACTTGGGTCAGGCTGCTTAACCACTCTGATCTTCAGTCTCCTTTTCTGTAAAATGAGGTCATTATGAAATTAAACGAGAGCTGAAAGGGGTAGTTGGGGCCAGGAGGAGCTGACATCTGGAGACAGGCTGACTCAGGCTTGAATCTGGATGGCGCTGAACCTCAGTCCCCTGGTCTGTAGAGTGGGGAGCATTGCAGACTCAAAGAGGTGCATCTCTTGTAGGGGACGCTGCTGGGAAACCCCAGAGGCCACGGTCTGCCCCCAGAACTGGCAGGTGGGTTCCACATGAGTGGGCAGGCTGGGGCTGTCCCCGCCTCCTCTCTCCGCCTCCCCATATCTCTGCCTGGTGTTATCTTGTCCTGACTAGGAGTTGAAGTCACACTGGATTTTTTTTGTTTTTGTTTTTTGAGAGGGTGTCTCACTCTGTGACCCAGGCTGGAGTGCAGTGGTGCGATCTCGGCTCACAGCAACCTCCGCCTCCTGTGTTCAAGCGATTCTCCTGCCTCAGCCTCCTGAGTAGCTGGAATTACAGGCAGCCGCCACCACCCCAGCTAATTTTTGTATTTTTAGTAGAGACAGGGTTTCACCATGTTGGCCAGGCTGGTCTCGAACTCCTGACCTCAAGTGATCTGCCCACCTCGGCCTCCCAAAGTGCTGGGATTACAGGTGTGAGCCATCACACCTGACCTATGCTGGCTTTTGAGGGACCATTTAGTCATTCATTTGATGAACATTTATTGAGTGCCTGCTGTGTACCTGTGCTGTTCTAGGGCCTGGGTTCTGAGACAGGTCTCCCTTCTCAGAGTCACATTCTAGTGACTCAGATTTTAAGAAGAGCAAATAAGACTGGTAATCCCAGCACTTTGGGAAGCCAAAGTGGGTGGATCACCTGAGATCGGGAGTTCGAGACCAGCCTGACCTACATGGATAAACACCGTCTCTACTAAAAATACAAAATTAGTCGTGCGCAGTGGCGCATGCCTGTAATCCCAGCTACTTGGGAGGCTGAGGCAGGAGAATCAGTTGAACTCAGAAGGCAGAGATTGCGGTGAGCTGAGATTGCGCCACTGCACTCCTGCCTGGGCA